GGGACTGGACTCCTGTTAGTGCCCAGAGTCAGAACTAAACATGGGGAGGCTGCTTTTCAGATTCATGCTGCTAAAATCTGGAACAGTCTTCCTGAAGATGTGAGACAGGCTTCCTCAATGACAATGTTTAAAACCAGGTTAAAGACAGTTCTGTTTTAGCTGTGCATACAACTGAGGGATTTTATATTTTTAGCTTTCTTTTTAATGTTCTGTGATTATTTTTTATTTCAATGCTTTCTTATTTTGTTCAGCACTTTGAATTGCCTTGTGTATGAATTGTGCTATATAAATAAACTTGCCTTGCCTAATTCAAAGTGTTATGAAATCTCACACTGTGTTTAAGCTACTGTCTGTGCAGTAATTGTTCAGTGTTTATGATTACAGATATTCCAGCTGAGTGGGAGGAGCCAATCAATTTAGGCCATGTATATATGCCAGGTGTGCTGGCTGTTCTGGGAAAAGGAGAGGAGAAAGGATTCACTCTCCATGTTGTCTGTGGAGAAAGACCCTGTACATTTTGGGAGAACTTTAAATAAATCTTCAGGTTTTGGGCCTTTGTATTCATTCTTCTGCTTCTTGGACCACTCATGCTTCACTACCTCACAACAAGCTATAATTGATAGTAAAACCATTTTGAAAGTAGGCCTACCTAATTTGGGCTTGGGTTTTTGAGATAAGGAAACATTGTTTACTTTTTGAACGCACTGGAAACGACTGCAAGTCTTGAGTAGCTCTTAAACAGTTGTTTTGTACTTTACAATAGTTATTTTTCTTGCTTTTTTCTACCGGATATGTTGTTGCAGTACAGTGTTCATGGTTTTACAATGGTCCAGAGAGGATTCATGGTCCGAACCAAACGTATCAGCTAAAAATCCACTGGAGGAATGCTATTGTTTTGAAAAATGCTAATGAAACATCCAGCATTTTACTTTAGACCAGAGCAGAGAAAATAGTCCGAACCCAGCTGCCACTCCATCTCTGCTGCCGTAACCTGTTCTGCTCCACCCAGCGGATGGTCTACCTCTGCTGCTGTGACCTGAAGTGCTGTTACTATCGTTCGCTTTTTAGAATAATCAATTCATATGTTTTGTTTGTGTGGATGGATGTGTTTTTGCTGCTACCGGACACCTGAATTTCTCCTACAGGGATCAGTGAAATATCTATAAAGTATCTAATGCCACTTTTCCACAGTAACAGTACGGTACAGTGCGGCGCGGCCGAGTTTAGGTGCTTTTCCATCAAAAATAGTACCTCTGCAGTATCTCCTCAGCGTTGTCAGACCACGTCATTTACGCGCAACGCGTCTCTAGTAACAGTGGTGCGGTGCATGGATTTATTTTAATATTGTGATAGCTGGTCATTACCTACTTTGCTTACCACCCGCAAAACTGGCTCCTAAACCTTTTCAGGACACCGAGTGACAGACTAACAGCAAGTATTTAATAGAAAATTCAGCACAGCGCGAGTGGTTGTTGAAAAAGCTTTCGGCAGTCTTAAAGGACACTGAACATGTGAAGTCAACGGTGCTGACCTGCTGTGCTCTCTACAATCTGCGAAAACCGTGGAGAGACCTGTGACAGAATGGGACATACCTGTAGCAACAGCAGCCTGTGTAGCAGTGGTTGCAGAAGAGGAGGGCTATCCTATGTGTCGCTTGTCATATGCCTAAACATTTATTTTGACCGAAAATAAAGCTTTTTTGTATTTACCAAATGTCTCCATCCTTGTCCATAAATTTACCAAGGTTATACAGATTTACTGACAAATACAATGTATGTAGTAAAAGTACATAAGTATATGGTAGAAAATTGTAACTTTTGAACCCATTTTCTGCACGTGTTCAGACAAATGAATGAAACAAAGTCTTGATACAATCACAGATTTATTAAAAACAAAAGTAAAGAGCAAAACCAACAGTTTACAAGTCCAAAGTACGTTTGAGACCAGGTCCAGATGAGGAGAATGTTAAAGAGCGACTAAACACCTGTGCTCAGCCTGACTCCGCCCACATGAAGATTTGAAAATTTTCTCTAAAAAGGGCGTTGCCTGGAGGACTAAGGGACAAGAAGGGGGGCTTAGAGCTGGGCGTGGTCTGGGCTGTGATTGACAGCTCACTTGTCACACAAAAAAAAAACAGACAGTTGTCATTGCTGCTTAAAGCAGTAGTTTACAGACCAGAAAGTCTCATTCCACCCTTGTTTACACACTAAGATAATTATAAAGCTACACACCTGAACCTAATCACACTCAATAATCTCAGAATGACTCATGTAATTTAATTTTAATCCACTAGATGGCGCCAGAATACTCCACACTGCAGCTGGGGCGTGTGTGAGAGTTGGATGGGTTCACATCACTGGCTCTGACAGACTGACGTCACACAAAACAACTGATGTCATAGAGAACTTCAGAGTCAATGGAGAGGCCAGGACCAAATTCAAATGTAGTACCACCAAAAAGGTTGAGAGGGCGCCACACAGAGTTTTTTGGCTCAAAAGTGATATTTTATCTAATTTGAACTAAAATGTCAAAAAATGACCAGGATATGTAGACAGCACTACAATAAACATACTTATGCAGTTTATGAGTTAAAAAAAGTTGATTTGGTGTTTAGTCGCTCTTTAAGTACTCCAGTCACTCACTGCTTGTTGGTAATCTCCTCAGTTGTGGGAAGGGATTCTCAAACAAATAAATATACACACGACAACTTAAGTACAAGCACAAAACAGAATGGCAACACGTGAATACAGCAGATAATACAAGATATAGCACACTAGCACAGGAAGGAAGTTAGCTTATTAGCTTGCTATCGATAGCTAAATGTAGCTAGCTCACCGTGTACAACAGACAATCAAACATTTACACGAGTAAAAACATTTTGGTGAGAGCTTTGGGCCAACGGGATACGTAGCTAACCAGTTATTTCCAGGATTACCACAGACTAGTCACAAATCCAGAGCTGGGTGATCTCCCTGAAAACCTTGTGAAACCTCCGTGTTGTGGCTCGAGCTGCCTTTGAATTCTTTCTTTCGGCCTGGAGAGAGTAACGTGTGGACCTCGTCCACCGACCAGGACACTGTCTTTTGGGGATTTCTGTGCGATTCCATTTCTCTGGAGTGAGGAGGACGTAATGCAGCCGAAGCAGAGTGTGATCCGGCACAAGTGGAATTTTATGTATATATTTATTTAATCATTGTGTGCTGTGTTTGTGGTGTTTTATATGGGTTTTATCTTTGCAGTGTATTTATTTATATATTTTAAGACTTGCCACCACCCGCTCATCACATGACCCTGCCACGAGACTTTGTCCCATCAACAGCGAACTATCTAAATGACGTCACTAAGACACGCCCCCGCCGCCTGTCAACTCCCGCCCACATGTTTCGGACAAACACTGCCGAAATGAATCAAATACCGCTTGTCACTTTTGATGAAAATGATATACCAGGAGCAAAGTTCCACCATCAAATCATCAGGGATCATAGTATATAGACCAATTAAAACGTTGGCCTGAGTGTCGTGGTCTTCCAGTAACTGGTAGAAAGTTTGAATTGATAAAAAGGTAATGGTGAGGATTATGCTAACATTATCTTCTCATTTAAATTGCAATGCTAGCGCCTTCTTTGTTTATTTTGCTGTGATTAACTTCCATTTATCAAGTTTTTTTTTGCACTGTCCACTTTGTAATTAGTTTGATCATCTAGTTAGCTACTGTCAGCCGATATTATAATAGATTTGACTGCCGCTAGTTGTCTCCGCGTGCAGAGGAGGAGAGCCAGCCAGGAGGGATCGGGACTGAGTGAAGGAGTGTTATGACGCGCACAACACGCAGGGGCAGAGGAAACTCTGCCTTGTGTGTAAGTATGGTAGCGACACTCCACCCTTGTAGCCTCAGGCCCCTGTGCTGGCGTTTGTTTTTGTATTCCCAGGTGACCCGGTGCGTGTGGAGAGGGACCGCTCCCCAGGACAGCACGACCTCTCCCCAGGACAGCCCGTAGCACATGCACTGTTGGACTGTCGTTTTTTAAGTATTTTAGCCCGCCTTGTTTTTATGGACTTTTAGTATCCTGGACGTGCACAATTTTATAATTTTATTTTTGTAATACATCTTTTAATTTGCAATTCTCCTGTCTTCCCTTGGCAAACTGTATGTGTGCTCTCACCCGGTCATCTCTCCTATTTACAATAGCCCCCCCCTTTGGTTCACTCACTACTTCTCACCATATCAACAGCCCCACCATTACAAGAGCACCCGGTTTTAAAGATGGCGGGTTGAGTTGTTTTTACTAAAGGGTCAGACGTTGCTTCCAGTAACGACACTCGTTGACCAATCAGTGTAAGGCAGTCGGGCGACGTCACGTCAAGACTGTTATTGCCCCTCAGTGGTTTGATTATCATCGTGCATAGGTTATAAAGAAAATATTTTTTGTTAGTATAAATATTTGCTGTGGTAGTGATCCAACCATAGACTGTATATGTTAACGGACGTAGTCGAGCCTTTCTCCGCCGTTCTAACCAATAGGCCAAAAATTGGGCTGTACTGGAGTGATTCAAAATGGCCGCAGGGGCTGGAAAATGTAAAAAAAATGCATGCGTCAGCCGGCACGAGCCCCATTCATTTAAACGAGTGACTTTAAAAAATTCACAGCGAGTAAACTAGACTGGTCAAAAAAAAATCACTCCCCTCAGCATTGACACACATGTGGAACGGAGCTTTGGGCCAAGAGCCAAATTTTGGACCATCCTGTAAACACGTTTTCGAGAGGTCAGCTAATGCTATATGTTAGCATTCATTCTTATTCCGGGTCCACCCCCATTGACCCGAGGTGGTAGTGCAAGCATGTCAGCGCACGTCATTTTGGCCACTTTTGAGCCTGGAGCCGCCCCCACCGGATCCAACACGAGTTAATATAATACATGTACATCCAACCTCATATCATGGAGTTTTGTTAGCAAACTGAGCCCTCTACTGGCCACATGTGGAATAGTCGGGTTGAACCATGGTGAATTAATTAATTTCTCCCTGATTTAAAACAAGAAGAAAGTTTCCTGAAGCAAGCATTTGTGTTGACATATTCCATCACTATTAACTGCATCCTGGAAGATCTGTTATTAATGCAAAAATATCTGCAATTAACTGGATGGTGGAACAGTCAAAAAGGCGATGTTGATGAAAAAGGTGTTTCTGTTCAGAAAGCAGAACAAGTTTCACATGACACACTTCTCCAGCTTATATAGTTCCTGTAAGTAGTACAGTTACTGTTTTTGTTGTCTCCTATTATAATTTTTCCTATTTTACTATTAGGAACTATAACGTAGAAATACATTGATAAATTAATGCATTTGCTTCACTAATAGCGGTGCATAATCTAAAAACAAAGCCTGACATCACTATACCTTTGTTTTTTCAGTCATAACCATGGATCTATAATAACAACGATCATAACAAATCAGAGGAACTTAGACAAATGAATTAATAAACTTCCACTTCCAATATTTGATCTGTTGATACATCTAAGTAATCGTCACAGCAACAACATTGTAAAACTACAGTAGTTCATCTTTCTTTTTCACTTCCTCAAAGTTTGTCTATAAATCTCATCTAGGAGCGCAGCAAATTCAGGGTCAGTCAACGCAGGAACACAGAGTGCCAGGTACTGGACTGCAAACACAGGCTTCCATGTTATAACTACAGCTTGCTACAGCCGGTAACATTATTACAAAACTTATATTCAAGTATGTTTTATTTCCACAAGATTGTTAAGTATTTCTATGGGCAATTATGTGCATAAATCATTATTGCAAAACTCCTGTATGTCATAGTTTAAGAATTAAATTAGACTTGGATCTCCTGATACTAGAATTGCCTACTCCTGTGTGTTTCCATTGATATTGTGCTTCTTCTGCTGTAATTGTTCACGATTTGGTTTAAAAGAAATCCATTTTAGTATAAATAATATTCCAAAGTTTGGTTTGAACACACAGATATGTTTCACTTACCTTCAGAAAGACATGCATTATTACTTAGAATGAGAAAATGTATACTTATGGCATATACAGTATGACTTTAACTTGCAGATATACTGATCAAATAAAAAATACATCAAATCTCAACAACCTAATTTGATGTTTGAGTTGTTCCTTGCCAATGCAAGAGAGTCTAAGGACAGTGGTGATGATCCATGACATTTCAGGACATGTATTAACAATTATGGACATTGGTCATCTGCCCCTTACAGACCAATGTGATTTTTTATCATTGAATTTTCTGTGTTTGAACTGTTTGATTCTCTGATCTGGGTTGGCAAATTGACAGCTTTATAAAGTCCTCCAAGATAACTACTGTTGTGATTTAGGGCAATACAAAAATAAATGTAATTGAATTTAATTGAAGCAAATTTTACATCAAACCACTCGATATTCTTTGGAGAATTAGTGCTGATTTTCCTGTAATATTCCACAGCATAGCAGATACCGTATATGGCAAAAAGCAAAAGATGTGATCAAGCTCAAAGAGTTACAAGCCAAATCTGTGGAGCGGCAAATCTGCTCAGTGTTCACCAAAAATATACATAATGGACTTGATGTACATATAAGAATCATTAACATGTTTTATACACAGTTCTTTTGTAGTATTTACGAATGTAACGTGTGATTCTATTGACACATTTTGACACATTCTTTCTGTTTTGTTTTCTCTGCCAGAGTTCCTCCACCGGTTGGAGCATGTGTGGGCGTTTGGCTGCACTACTTCTCAAAAATGGGTCATGGATTGCCAAAATCGTGTCTTATTTTTCTTTTCTTACATAGTTCAATTGTGCAAGGCTTCACGTTAAGAAGTTGTCGAATAAGTTTGAACGTGGCTATTTGCTCCAATGCCAACCTCAAATCCGTTCCTTCTGATATTCCTCCGACAGTGGAAGGTGTTGACTTATCCAAAAACCAAATTTCCAAATTACTAATAGCACATTTTCAAAACTTTACAACTCTTAAACATTTGAGCTTGGCGTTTAACAAAATAACTTCTATAGAAAAAGGAACGTTTTCACAACAGATTTATCTTCAAAAGTTGGTTTTGAGAAGAAATCTACTCACCAAACTTCATGATGGTGTGTTTGACGGTTTGAGTAATGTGACAGAGTTGCTGATCAGCTACAATCACATCACTATTATTTCACGTGACGCTTTTAAACCCATGAAAATGCTACAGAAGCTGGATTTCTCAGGCAATAAAGTGTGTACCCTTCAACCAATAAGTTTAATCATACAACACACGGCATATTTGTCAGATTTGATTATTCGAAGTGTTAGAATGTCAAGCTTTAAGTCATCAGAACTGTCTAATAAATCCACTGCGCTTCAGTTACTCGATATCTCTGACAATCCACTTACATTTATTCAAATAACAATGAATATTTTTCCAAATTTGACCTGGATAAACATAGGAAATCCTCCACAGAAGCTAAACCTGATGTGGGACATCCCAGACAAGAGCATTATAGCTAAAGTGGTCACGCTCGATATTAGCGGAATCCGGATGAGTCCCAGCCAAAAGCTATGGGATTTTTTGTCCGTTTTTAACACATCATTGAAAACTCTGAGACTAAATTCAATGCATAACCATATCAGAACACTGATATTTAAAGCTTGCTCTATTCCAACTGTTTCTGAGTTACAATTAAAAAATAATTATATGCCCATTCTTGACACAGCTTTATTTACCTTGTGCACAAATGTAACTACCGTGGATCTAAGTCGATGTTCAATAAAGAATACATCAAATGAGTCTTTCACAGGGCTGTCACAATTGCAAACTTTAATCCTTGCTCGCAATAGGTTATCCGCAGTCCCGTATGTCGTAAGAAACATATTGTCGCTTACCAAATTGGATATTAGTAATAATTCAATTAAAACTCTAGATTGTTACAACTTTGCAAATTTGACCAATCTTAGACAACTCAACTTGCAATGGAACCAGATCGCATCTCTACAAAAATGTGTGTTTCAAAATTTGCCAAAGTTGAATGTTTTGCAGCTACAAGGAAACTTACTTACAACACTTAATTGCGCTTTTCACTCAAGTTTACCAAGTTTGAAAACGTTAAGTTTATTTAATAATTCACTGAGAATAATAAAACAAGGAGAATTTCGTGGGTTGCCGTCTTTGCAAAAATTGTCAATGAATAAAAATCAAATTTTGTCATTGCAAAAATCTTGTTTTTCCGGTTTGAAAAATCTTCAGGATCTTCAACTTAGTGAAAACAGAATTCAAAGGAAATCTTTGGATATAGATTGTTTCAAAGATTTGGTCAGTTTAAGATATTTGAGCCTTGGGCAGAATCAGATCAAATTTTGTGCTTCCACTAACCTGAAAAGGCCACCATTTTCAAATCTGTCCAACTTGAAAAGGTTGGACTTCCGATCTCAGCGTTTCCGACTTCGGGGCTCCATCCCCTCCAATTTCCTTCAAGGTTTGTCAAATTTATCATTGCTCGATTTTGGAAATATTAAAATTGTAGACATTTCTGATGACTTTTTCATACATACTCCTAACTTGGAATCTCTGGATTTAAGTTCCAATGATCTTATGGACCTTTCTCCAGAGTTATTCTCACCAATTCCCAAACTTAGAGTACTCAGGATCACTAGTACCAATCTCCGCTCTCTTGACTTTCTTATCGAATCAAATTTGACACAACTAGAATACCTTCAAGCTCGAAAAAATGGTTTTTTTCTCATGACTGAAGACATTATCAAATCTGTACCCAGCCTACGTTATCTAGATCTTGAATACAATAGTTTTAAATGTGACTGTGAAAGCTCTGCATTTATACAATTGGTTAAAAAAAACAAGCAAACTCAAGTATTTAATGCATCTAGTTTTCAGTGTTTTTACCCACGTCAGAAAAAAGGCACAAAACTGCTGGACGTCAATCTCCAGCTTTGCGTTATCGATATTGATTATATTTGTTTCACATTCTTCACATCGTTCATCTTGGCTTTCATGATGGCAGCGTTCATTTTCCATTTCATGAGATTTCAGATAGCCTACGCCTACTACATGTTCACGGCTTGGCTCTTTGATGAAAGGAACAAAAACAGGAAAGTACCAATCCAGTATGATGCATTTGTGTCGTACAATGTCCACGATGAAAACTGGGTTTACGGAGAACTGGTCTCTCATCTGGAGAAAGAGCAGGGCTGGAAGCTGTGTCTACACCATCGAGACTTTGAACCAGGTAAAGATTTTGTATAAATGTTCTTGGATTATGGAAGCATCATTCATACTCATTCATAGTGCATGTCAATTCAACCAGGAAAAACTCAACCAACAAAAGGGTGTATTAACTTGAGTTAAGTAACAAGTTTGGTTACTGCACGGCACGGCAGTTTTCGGTATAAACACGGGTAGTAGCGCTATTGAGGTGGTGGTGGCAAGGAGGAGGAGGGTTGTGGAACGAGCTAAAAAGCTGAATGAAGATGAGAAGACTCTGTTTAACTGCCCGAAAATCTAGAGGTCTGATCTAGAGGTAATAATCTGGTGATAGAACCAGACTGCAAGGAACTACATAGATTGGATGTTTTACATAGTTCAAGGCTTTGAGGTTTTAAAGGTTCCATATTACGCGAGACCAAACCACATACACTGGACTCGGGAGCTGGCTGCGCGCTGTGATTTGCTGTTTCAATATGTCAATCACCTCCTAGATTTTAGTATTATTGTTATTTTCATTATTTTTGACAACAAACAGCATACTTAATGTGAATTGTTTTCATTGGTTTCACGATAGTATTTAAGAACCATTTTAAATATGAAAGAAAATGGGCTTATGCTTGTCATATTTGTGTGGTAATCGCAACAGATGTGGACCCGGGCGTTTCACTGCCTCTGGAGGGTGAAGGAGATAGATCGCTCTCTAACTAAAGATTGACAAAATCAATGAAAAAACGAATCTGGGAATGCGTATGAAGGCCAAATAGCACTGTAATCATGTTTAAAGCAGAGAAAAGTCAAAAAGCGTAATATGGGACCTTTAATGTCGACCGGGGGCAGAGGGTAAGGATGTTGGGGCGGATACTTCCATCTCCCTGGCAGAGGTCACCAAGGCAGCCTCCATGGTGGCAAGGCGCCGGGAGTGGATGAGATCCGTCCTGACTATTTAAAGTCTATGAATGTTGTGGGACTGTCTTGGCTGACACGTCTCTGCAACATCGCGTCGCGATTGGGGGTGGTGCCAATGGAGTGGCAGACCGGCGTGGTGGTCCCTCTCTATAAGAAGGGGGACCGGAGGGTGTGTTCCGATTATCGTGGGATCACAGTCCTCAGCCTCCCCGGTAAGGTCTACTCCAAGGTACTGGAGAGGAGGCTACGGCCGTTTGGTCGAATCTCGGATTCAGGAGGAGCAGTGTGGTTTTTGTCCCGGCCGTGGAACACTGGACCAGCTCTATACTCTCCATCGGATACTCGAGGGTTCATGGGAGTTCGCCCAACCTGTCCACAGGTGCTTTGTGGATTTGGAGAAGGCTTTCGACCGTGTTCCCCGGGGTGTCCTTTGGGGGGTCCTCCGGGAGTATGGGGTCCGGGGTCCTCTGTTGAGGGCCGTTCGGTCCCTGTATGACCGGAGTCAGAGCTGTGTTCGCATTGCCGGCAGTAAGTCGGACCTGTTCCCTACCCTTTGTCACCGGTTCTGTTCACTGTATTCATGGACAGAATTTCTAGGCGCAGCCAGGGGCCGGAGGGGGTCCGGTTTGGCCACCACAGGATTTCATCTCTGCTGTTTGCGGACGATGTTGTCCTGTTGGCTCCAACGAACCAGGACCTGCAACATGCACTGGGACGGTTTGCAGCCGAGTGTGAAGCCGCTGGGATGAGAATCAGCACCTCCAAATCTGAGGCCATGGTGCTCGACCGGAAAAAGGTGCCTTGCCCTCTCCGGGTGGGTGGAGAGGTCCTTCCTCAAGTGGAGGAGTTCAAGTACTACTCTACACTGCCACGAATAAATATGACTTGTATATATGTTAATAGTTGAATATAAACTCTAATACTATCAATTCAACCAAGCAAAAATACTTCACTGTCTGGTAAAAGGGAAAAATGATATATAAATAAAAATAATAGTAAAGGAAAAAATAGTAAATGAATAAATAAGAAGAAGAAGAAAAAATAATATAAAAGAAAAAATAAATAAATAAAGTCAGCTGAACGTGGCCTGAGACCGTTGGGGTAGGGTGTGTGCGGTTCTGACTTGAGGCTTTGGTGCGTTACTGGTTGTTGCTGCTCTGGTGCCTGCTGTGACAGGATTGGCTTGGGTCACTGTGCTGCTTGTTGCCGTGTTGTTGTGCATTACTTTGCTACTGGCTGCCAACTAGGGCTGAAACAACTAATCGATTAATCGACAACTAATCGATTATTGAAATAGTCGACAACTATTTTAGTAATCGATTAATCGTTTTCTGGTTCACACGGACTCAAACAGAGCAAAAATGACATGAAAATGCAGTATTTTTGATTAAAACAGACTTTGTTTTTATAATTTCATGAATATCTCATCCAATCAGAGCAGAATTAGCACAAAGAGCCTGTTACAAACATTTACTTTGAGTTACGCCATCAATACGTCCTCGAGTGTTGCCACTTTAGCTTTTTGTGATGAAAATTTTTTTTTTTCTACACAATTCACAGCCAAGCGATTACTCGATTAATCTTAAAAATAATCGATAGATTAATTGATTACAAAATAATCGTTAGTTGCAGCTCTACTGCCAACGCGACCCGGCAACGGATGAAGCGTAAGAAAATGGATGGATGGATGGACACACTAGGCAGTATATCACTGGGGATTCACTGCTCTTGAAATTTTAAATTTTGCAATTCCTTGGGGTGGAGTGATGACTCCACTTCCTGAAGCTTGTGGGGAAAAAGTCAAAAGTGCTGACAGAAACCACTTATATATAGTGTATCTTTTGTGGCCCACAATTTCAAAACACACCAAAACAAAATATTGAGATTCTGCAAAAAATTCTTGTCTCACAACTGCTATTGTAATTTTTTGTGGTTTTAGGTTAATGCCTCACATTAGCAGTCCACCCCAGAGCAGCTGTTGCTATGCTCTCTTGGGTGGATTAAATCAAAAATGTGCGAGTTTGCAAGCAAGATTTTAAATATATATATTTTAATATATGTATGGAGATTAAAATAATTAGCTTGATCATATTTCTTCAGGTTGAGGGAACAAAATGCTTGGTACGTCGTCAAAGTTAATTAATTAGATTCCTATTAACCTATAGTAAATAAGAATGTGTGGAAGACATGCCATGGTGGTAGCCTAAGTGTACATATTGAAGTTATTTAAATACTAAAATAAGTGAATTATTAACAGTAGTATTTTACATTCATATAAGTTCTTGTTTTTAGTTTCTTGATGTGAAATAGTTTCAGTTCAAACGAAATTGGCCAAAAAAATAAGGAATCGAAAATGGCCTTATTTTTTCCCATAGTTCCCTTTCAGCCAAAACATGTGGTGACCAAGGATGAAATGGCATTTTTTAAATATATATATTTTATATATATATATATATATAACAAGAGATTGCATTCTATATCAGGTTTATACCTATAAGTGGTGCTAGAGTCTCATTGGTTTGTTTCTTGTCATTTGTCAACAGGAAGGCCCATTGTGGACAACATCACAGACGCCATATATGGTAGCAGGAAGACCCTCTGTGTGATCAGCAGGAGGTATCTGCAGAGTGAGTGGTGTTCCCGGGAGATGCAAGTGGCCAGGTATTCAATTATTACTTTCCAGTGTGAATCATAGCATTTTTTATTGATACATAAAAATTAACATAACTTAAAACTGATGATACTTCCTTCCAAAAGGAACTATTAGTAGTGGGTAGCCTTGTTTCGGAATAAACTTAACATAAAAAAAAAAAACAAGAAAGAAGAGGGGTGATTATGGAGTAAAAAATAAGTTGCTTCTTGAGGCACGGATCATAAGTTATTTATGTGGATTTCTATAGGTTTGAGCTGTCCAACTGAGGCCCATGGACTGATGGTACATATAAAAGTAACTTAAAAAATAAATTTTCAAGGGGACATAACCTGAAACATGCTATAGATGCTTTCCCTTGTCATCCAACTGAAAGCTCTTATTTATTATTTATTATTATTATTGTAACTTCGAGGAGGAGAGGCATCATTGAGCGTCGTTCTAGTCATATTTTTGTTAAAGGGATGGGGCATAAAACGGCCAAAGTGGGGTACGCTACTTTGTATTAGCTAAATATGAGCTATGTATTTATTAATGAGACGGAGGGTTAGAGAACAGAATCTGGTTATGTCAATAAGAGATGGAAACTTACTATAAGAAGTACTGTTAACAAAGGGCCACATTTTGCTCTTAGGCCATAGTTTGGACAAACCTGCTTCAATTAAATAGATTAGATTATTATTACTTATCTGCAGAAGAATGCTTATACAGATCACTTATATACAATCACCTCGTATAGACACGCTCCTTAAATCTCTCCTCGTCTCCTGTTTTAGTTTCCGTCTGTTCGATGAGAGGAAAGATGTGCTGATCTTGATATTTTTGGAGGACATCCCTTCGGCCCACATGTCTCCGTATTACCGCATGAGGAAAGTGCTGAGGCGGCAGACGTACCTGAGCTGGCCCGGGATCGGACCAGAGGCACAAGTGTTTTGGGAGAAACTGAAGCGAGCTTTGACCAGCACTAAGTCACAGGCAGAGGAGAGACTGCTGCTGACGGTCACAGACGAGCAAGGCACATAGCTGGATGTATGCATATTTATTTAACTGTAATAATATAATTCAACACAGAAATAAGTACAATGTCTTCTTTGATAAATACCATCTTACCACATTCTTGTGGACTCAATCTCATGTGGAAATATCTCTTCCAAAAAACAAAGATGTTTAATGCCATAAGGTTTTTTTTACTTTCCTAACTTCACAGTCTACATGAGACTCATCTAAAATGTGTCCTCCGCATTTGACTCATTTCACCCAGTCAGGAGCAGTGGTCAGCACAGTGCGACACCTTTGGACCCATCTCCAGATCCAGATGAATTCATCTATGTGCAAGTTTTGTCTGGTTATTATTACAAAACATGTCCATATTGGTACAGGGTTAATATTGTGATACTTACATTGTGATCACAAATGACTTGTTTTAAAAGTTTGAGGCCGAAAAGTGGCCCCACAAGAGTCTTTTATCTGCAATGTTTTGAGAAACGTAAAAGGAGCTATCTTCAGCTATATTCACATATATATATGTCTGCAGGTGCTGATCTTTGACTTAAATAACTGCTCAATGGTCACTGTATTTACAGAATGAAATGATCCTGTTTTTAAAGTAATATCTAATCTTAAATAAATTTAAAACTAAAACAAAAGCAAGTTGTTTCATGTTTTAATTGTGCAAAATACTTGTGAAACTAATTGTGACCAGGAAAAATACACTTTTTTTTTCTCAAACCCAACTTTTCCTTGTACTTGCAAGTACATGGTCCTTTACTCCATATGCTGCGTATACAGAAGTCTGCTCATTACTCCATTATGCTAGTTGTTTAAAATTTAGATTAAATAAGAACCTGAGAGCCATTATTTCCCCCTTTTGATCTGCTGTAATGTGCACAACAATTACATTGAAATTTCCCCAAGAAGGGAGGCATAAAGGTTTATCATATCTACATTTCCACACATTTATAAGATACGCTTATTTTCACAACTCATGTCAAATACATTTCCATGTCCTACTCACTGTATCTTATTATTCAAGTCAGAAATGTGCAACTGTTGGACTCATTTTAGTTAATATATTGTACACCAATGGGGTGACAGTAGCTCAGTTGGTAGAGCATTGGCCTTACGGCCTGAAGGTCGTGGGTTAATTTCCCACCTCGACACCTTCTCCACCGACTCCCACTGATGTCTGCTGTCGTTGTGTCCTTAGGCAAGACACTTAACCCCACTTTGCCCGAAGCCCCCGCTGAAAGATCTCAGCTCCTGTGGACTCACACCCTGCAGGAGGATCAGTGAGGGGCTGGCGCTCTGTGTACTGGGAGCAGCTCCCGACCCAGAAATGGATTAAGGGAACGAAAATGGATGAATGGATATTTTACACCAATACACTTCACTGTAAACCGAACAGTTTGGAAAAACTTTCCCTCAATAAAGATAAGTTTTATAAATACCATAAACATAACACTATAAGCTCATTAAACACAGTCTTTACTAACACTCATGTAAGATGACAAAAGGGGCATGACTCAACAAAGAATGGCCTCGGCCGAAACTAACCAGCGTGAGATAAGAAAACACGCGATTTAGGAATGTCCATCCCAGAGCAGACATCTGAGACATAAAAAGGTCGAATGGAGGACTATCATTAGTCACAAAGATACCAACCTTCAAACCGGGACAATGATCGACCCCAGAAACAAGCATCTTTGCCTCCCTCTCCGGCGAGATCAAAGATCAAATCGGGTCTGTACAATCTCTCCGATAAGGCCTGAAGACATTCCTCCCAGGCAGACTGGCGATCCACCAACGGCGTTCTGACGCCCCCCAGTGGACACGGGACGCTAGCACACCCGAGATGGACAGTCGAAACCATCGCTCCGTGAAGTCATTATTCTGATAACCTTTACTGTGCTCTACACGTGTGTACCATTGTCTGTAATGTAAATGCGCTGTGTGTCTGTATATGTGTTATAAACGTCGGTGTCAGTGATGCATATGTCGTCATAACCATGTATGTCGCGAAAGATGTCCAGGGAGACGCACAAAGATGACGTCATAGACGCGCCCCCTGAACTGGAACAAAAAGCGCACGCAAGTCGAAAAACTTCCTCTTGGTATTTTTAATGAACCTAACAACTATTCGGTACGCGTCTCCAACGCGACCTTTGGGCCTGTAACAACTTTGGGCCCCTATCTCCACAAGGACAGCTAGCAACACCCGCTGTCGGAGACAACGAACTCTCATCAACCAGCCACTTTCCGGCTTCTGGACTGGACGTCTACCCACGCGGGCGCTTTTCTAGGCGGCGTACGTGTGTGGGGATTTCAAGTTTTGCTGCGACCTGTGGTCTTCGTCTCTCCTGCTCGAACAAAGGAACACGTGGACTCCCCCCCCCTTTCCTCTGCAATTCTTCAATACGGACTACGTCAAAGTAAGACTGTTCTAATTGCCACGTTAATGTGTGATTCACGTGATATGTTTAACATCTCTGTTTAATGTGACCAAACCCCTCCTCGTTGATATTTTTCTATTTTCGTATGTAGTCAATAAACCCACAATAAACCTAGTCATCGTCAAGTGTCCTTTTTTATAAATCTTTTGATATCCCTGGCTGATTTCGAACTCAAAATCTATCAGATTGTGAGACTGATCAAGGCAGATTAGTATTGGATCTGTTGTAGACGTTTCAAATTCTACTAGTGCCCTTAAATATAAATTCAGATCCCTCTTTGTGGAACGGCGAGACTCCGACCTGGAGACTAGCCGCTCCACATCCATTTTTCCTACCCTACACTCATTAGCTCACTATACTAATTTCCAAATCGTTTGTACTCATCGGTTTTAGTTTAGTTTAGTTTAACATGGTTTTATATGCTTTCATGACTGCGTTAAACCTTATTTTCCCTATAACTAATGTTCTTTCATACATTGTAATTAATTATACTCATCTGTTACACTTGAATATGAAAAAATAAAAAATGGCACGCTCCATTCCACATTTACATGCATTTATTATCAGTTAACTTGCAATATAGCAGTGCATATTCACAAAGTTCTTGTTTGGCGGACAGCTTTCACTCAACAAAATAGAACAGAAGACAAAAACCGTAAAATTGTTCAAGTTTCAGTCACGTTGTATATTAGTGCACTGTTTCCTGGGGAGAGGGCCAGGTACTCCTTATTCTATTCAATTCATATGGAGACCCTCCTTTTTCCTCCCTCTCTCGTTACAATTATTTTTCATGTCAAAACTGTGAAAAATAAAATAGTAACTGAATAGGACAGGAAGTATTCACCCTCAAGGCCTCAGGTTAGAGGAACTAGCACTTATTTTGATATGAAGTTGCCTGTAGAATGTGGCTACATTCTACATCCCTTAAGTAATATTTTAATTTTAATTGATTTTTGTCATTCAGTTTCCTTGTCTAATCAGCAGATCCATTGAATCAGAGGGTTGTCAGAGTATACATTAAAGAAAGGCCAAAGGGGTACGTTACACAAAAAGGCTGGGAACCACTGTATTAGTGTTCAAAAAAATAAAAATACTTTTGCTTACGAACTGTGACCAACAGATTACTAATAGGCTTTCCAGAGCAAATTGTACAAAATAAGTGCATTTTTGAAGCTGCCAACATCAGAAAATAACTGTATCATGGGTTTTTCATTATATCAAATCACAGCGTCATTTTACATTTAGAGTTCTTTTTTTTTTTTTTTTTAAGATTGTAGCTTTGGTTTCGAGATCATCGGCACCCAACATCAGGAGGATCTGTTGGATGAAGAGGAAAATGTATCTCATGCACTTAGGGCAGTTGAGGTGCAGGGCGTAGATTAGGAAGAAAATGACAAACGCAGCATTGGGCAAGTGTCAAGTCTTTAGCAACTGCTTCCCCGTCAATGACAATTTTCAAAGAAGCAGGATTTGTGAGTGAGGCAAGATGAGACTCCATGATGATCTCAAGCAGCATGTCACCATACCATAGACTGTAAATATTAACGGACGTAGTCACGCCTATCTCCGCCGTTCTAACTAATGTGCCACAACTTCCGCGGTCTATGGGCAGTTTCAAAATGGCCACGGGGGCTGGAAAATGTGAAAAACGCTTATGCACATGCATCGGCCGGCACGAGCCCCATTCATTTAACGAGTGCCTTCAAAATTGGTGCAAAAAAATCCACTCCCCTCAGCATTGACACACATGTGGAACATTGCTTTCGGCCAAGAGACAACTTTTAGACCATCCTGTAAAGACGTTTTTGAGAGGTCAGCTAATGCTATATGTTAGCATTGAATAATTCTTATTCCGGGTCCACCCCCATCGGCCCGGGGTGGTATTGCAAGCATGTCAGCGCACGTCATTTTGGCCACTTTTGAGCCGGGACCCGACCCCACTGCACCATACAAGGCCTCACCAGACTCCTTAACCTTTTAAGGAAAAAATACTACTTATAGCAAGATTAATAGCCAAAAAATGATATAATTAGATTTTTGGTGTAATAACGTTGATAATTTGCAGGTAAAACACTTTGGCACAATTGGCACAAAATAGGACCACTTGTGCCGAATGTGCCCATTAGTTACAAAAAAGCCCCCAGCATCAAAATGGTTACACCTAAAGGTCTGAAATTTCATTCAGTTGTTGCCAAGACCACAGACATCTGCTCTGGTGAGTTTGAACAACATACCATAAAGTATGTCTTAAGGAGAACCTTTTGAAATTGCCTTTTTTTTTTTTTTCGAGAAAAAAAAAACTAACTTTGACTCATGTTTGAGAAGGTGTAGTGCAGACTGTGTCCTTCCTAACAAACCATACATACCATACATTTCCAGAAACTAGAAAGTGTTGCCTTTCAAATGAGGCATCATAACACAAAATCAGACACAAGATGTCCACACAAGAAGCATTTCCATTTGAGTATCATAATTCAAGAAGGAGCAGGCGAAATTATGTGATCCTTAAAGGGCACAAAAAGCTTGATGAGAATTATTGATCATCATTTAACGTTACACAAGTATTATAGACTT